AACCTCGGGGTCCGCCAACGCCAACATGCCCAGAACAATGATGGCTCCTCGACGTTGTGTCTTCGAGATTTCCTTCTTTTGCACGCCGTAAACCTGCCACAGCTTCGAAATAACGAGTTCAGGTATGTGGCCGGCCTTCATCATGGTGCTCAATAACTGTTCCAGGCAAGTGAGCTCAGCAGGTGTTGCGCCAAAGGTCAAGCTGATCATGTTCCGTGCAATGTAATTTGCAGCATCATTTGGACTGAACGAGTCCGGTGCTTCGAAGAAGAGCCCCTTGTAGCAGTCGATCAGATGGGTTTGGACTCCCTTGCCTTCATCACTATTACCTTTTGTCCAGATAAGTCGCAGCATTCGGCGAATCCCACTACGGGAAGTCTCAACCTTGTAGGCATCAAGTACGACGAAAAAATCCATGGCTTCAATGGCCTCGCTTTTATTCCTTGACGATAAGAGCTGAGCAACTGTAGCAGAGGCCATGTGAAGGACTTCAATGAAACGGATGGCCTCGTTGTAATATTTTCTTGTTAGCTGGAGTCGTGTGAGCAGTTCTGACGTTGCCGCCTGTTCCGCGGCATGTTTGATTGCTGCTGCTTTCTCTTCCTCAGTCAGACGTGTTGTTTTAGCTGAAGACTCCTCTGGAAATTGAGTTGCATCATCCAATAATATACTATCAACATGGGATGCATCACCGCCTTCAAAGCCCTGTGTTTCAGGGGGTCTCAGCGCGTTCAGCTCAGCATCTACTCCATCGAGCCGTGCTGCCCACTCTTTGAGTGAAAGCTGCCCACCATGCATAACACCGAATGGATGGGTTGAGACCAACTTGGCGAGCAATTTAATAGCATTCCGTCGTACATTGCTGCTTTTGTCTTCCAGACTTCTCGCCGCCAGCTCCGCAACGGCAAGCCGTCTTTTCGGAAATTTCTGCTCCAAGTCGCAAATTCTCATACATACCTGAATTGCCCGGCACCTGCAGTAAGGATTAATGTCAAGAAAGCGTTCCTCTAGAACGTCGAAGAAAGCGTTTATTTGGGTTTTGTAATTATCGCCTCGTTCTTCTTGACGACTGAGGTCGGATATCAAGTTTCCGCAGACTTCAATCACTGCGCATCTCAGGGTGTAGGACTACATAGAAAAATGAAAGTGTTAGAGTATTAGCGTCCTCGCCGGATTCCTGAGAGGCCGAACCTCGCTGTCTAGCTGTTTAGCTAAGAGAGTCATCTGCTTGATGATCAACCGAGGTGCCAGCTCTGAGAGTCTGATGATGAAAGAGGACACAGATTTCGGTCCGCGAGTATCATTGGAATTGAACTCTTTATTCCCAAGCTCCCTAGCTTCTGTCAGTAAATGCGCAAGATGGGCAAGACAGTGAAAATATACTTCAATATCTCATCCGAGAGTTGGGGGTAGTCATATTGTTCGGCGAGGATGTGCAAGAACTCTGCCATCGGCTCGGACAAGTGCTCAAAATATGTCAGGCTTTGTACAATAGATGTCTGGGCCCCTAGACGTTCGTGTTAGCGGTAGCTATGGGCTTCAGGTCGAAAAGCCCACCAAATGCATGCCCATGGTGTTTCACCGCGATGCAGAGGACCTTGAAGGCATGCATCCGAATGCTCATGCTCTTAACGCGGTGCTCGCTCTCCAGGATCAGATAGATCGAGCGGGTGAACAGGTTGATGAACGTATCACGGTCTGAAGTTGTCAAGAAAATCCTGCCCAGTTTCAGTTTCATCACTTTGCACATGGTTTCCATTGCGACTTGAATCTGTGCTGTCCAGTCCCAATTTCCATCCTTGGAATTAGCCTTAGATTTGGTAGATTTGCCTGCGCCTCTCCTGGCAGGAGCTGCCTCCGTTGGCTTTTCAGCAGCTTTGAGCTCAACAGCCGAAAGGGCCCATTGCAGTAGAAACCCGTACATCTCCAATAAGGTTTTATGCTGCTGCATGGCGTCCTGCTCGTCAGATTCGAGATCGCCATGGATAATATCTGCTTCTACCGAGAGGCCGGAAACGACAAGATCGAGGAGTTTGCTCAAAGTTCGGGTGTGGGAAAGGACGGAGTATCTGTGGGAATAGAAAAGTTCAGAGCCAGACCCTCGGGCAACAACAACTTTGAAATGGGGAGAGAAGGTCCTGGTCGTTCAGGACGTACTTCAAGAGGAATTGCAATGAATCATAGAAAGATCCCCTGGCGAGGCCCTCCGGATGTTCAGCAACGGCATCCACGATCGGATTAAGAACATTATCGATAACGACGGGTGACAATTGATCTGGGTCGGTTTCGCAGTCGAGCAAGTCGGGATCGGCATCGAGCGTAGGCACGGAGGCGGGGTCGCTCAAATAGAATTTAAGCGACTCATTAATGTCGAACGGAATGCGATCTTCCATGTTGAGTGACGAGCGAGGGAGGTCCTCGCAGGACACGCGACTTATGTGGACGAGAGAGGGCAAGGTGAAGGAGGGATCTTTATTGCGAGGGTTGGTGATACTTCAAGTGGGGAAACGGAAGGACGGGAGGGGGAGAAGAGGAAAAGGAAGCCCGAGAAATCAGGCGGCGACAGGCGGGCGTGAGCCCGTAGTTTGTTTGTATTTTTCCCATTTGGGTGTTGATAAGGGCACATTGCGTCCGCGCTTTCGGGATACACTAGATAGTTACTCAGTACAACTATATTATCAGATTGAATGGGGTTTCTAACGCGATAATTTACCAGTGACACGTACCATATTTGCCTCCTTTGGCAGGCGGTATGTATGTATAACTGGAAATTCGGGCAAACTCCAGCCTCCCGTTACAAGTACATACCTGCATATAAACAAACAACGGACTAGTTATACCGGAACGGGTGATTCTGTACCGCTGCCCTGGTACCGCTGCCCTGAGACGGTGAATTGAGCAGCCCGGAAGCATCTCCGACCAAACCAAACCCCCCCCCCACCTCCGATTCCTGACGAAGTACAGTTTTTACCTGCGACGAAACATAGACCAATTGTCAACACGAGAAGCTGTGTGCTCTTTTCGTCATCACTCCCCTCTTTCAGAGTTGAACCTGTTTGCATGCCAGCATAATATACCGACTAATCCTCGGCCTAGACTTCGCAGTCGCGCCAACCATCGCCGCGCCCTTTAGTGCAATGTCCGCCTTTCACGCAGCGCCGATTGAAATTTTTGGTGCTCAGCGGCCAGTACCATCTGGCTCAGTCTACGAGTATGAACACCGAGATGGAGTCGTGACAAATAGCGAGTCGTCCCTGGAGAATATGCCAGATGAGGATGGCCTGGAAGAATTTGATCCTCATGATGAGGAAGACGTTGACGATTCCGTGAAAGAGGACATGAAACGATTGGAAGACACATTCCCAGGGATATCTGATCGCTTTCGGCTGGTCAATCGAATAGGTGAAGGTATGGTGTGAATTGACTGGCTATCCTACGATGTTTCCGGTGGTGTCTGAGAACCCTCTAACTCGGTATAAACCTCAACTAGGGACTTTTTCGACTGTCTACAAAGCGGAGGATCTTCTCTATGACCACTATCAAAATGATTGGGACACATTCCAGGACATCCGAGACGACAACTTGACCAGCCTTCCAACGAAGCGACGCCGGGTCGAGGGAGAAAGCAGTCGCATATTCACGGCGAAACGACGAAGACCACGATACGTTGCTTTGAAGAAGATTTATGTTACAAGCAGTCCGCTACGCATTCAAAACGAACTTGAATTACTGCATGATCTTCGGGGTTGTCGATCAGTATGTCCATTAATCACTGCGTTCCGCTATCAGGATCAGGTCGTAGCAGTCTTGCCATTCTTTCCGCACACCGATTTCCGTATCCAATATCGTACATTCATGGTTGCCGACATGCGACATTACTTCCGATCCTTGTTTACCGCTTTACATTCCGTCCACAAGCATAACATTCTCCATCGTGACATAAAGCCGACGTAAGAACATGCGTTCCGATGCCCAGCTCCATTGCCTTGGACCTTTCGGCGCTCTGATAAGGTACTGACCATTGCATTGGCTATTCAGTAACTTTCTTTACAATCCTGAACTCCGAGAAGGTGTACTAGTGGACTTCGGTCTTGCAGAAGTAAGTACAGGCGCTCTCATAGTCGCCCATGGCACGTGCTTCAATTGCTGATGCACTCTCGCAGCGCGAGGGCTCGGAGTACACTGGTACTTGCTTATGTGCGAATTCTAGCCAGATACGTCGCAGTCGATTCTTTCAGAGCTATTATTATACTAATTGCGCCCCGTCTCTGAATAATACATCTGTGGGGTACCCAAAGAACGACTCCCGGCCTTCGAGGCGCGCCAATCGAGCCGGAACCCGGGGATTCCGCGCACCCGAAGTCCTTTTCAAATGCACTTCACAAACTACCAAGATCGATATGTGGTCAGCTGGTGTCATTCTTTTGACGTTGCTCGGCCGTCGATTTCCATTTTTCAACTCAGCCGATGATGTCGACGCTATGATTGAGATGGCAAGCATCTTTGGCACACGCCGCATGAAAATGGCGGCAGCCATGCATGGGCAGATTTTCGAAACCAACATCCCAACTATAGGAGAAAAGGGTTATAGCTGGGAGAAGCTGGTGAAATGGGCGAGTTGTGTGGAGGAGCTGACTGAAAGTGAAAAACAAGCCACCCGTCTCTTGGCTGGACTCATGGAGCTGGACCCTTCCAAGCGTTTCAGTGCTAAAGAGGCCTTGCAACACGAATTCTTCACTGATCCCATGGATCACGACGTGGAGTGGGGTGGAAACCCGGATGATAGCGGAGATACCGGCGAGGAGGGTGAGAAGGATGATGATGAGGCAGATGATGCAGCAGATGAGGTAGCAATGATATGATTTCCCTAATGGGGGCGACATAAGTACGGTAATGGCAATGAGTACTCTTGAAGCACCGGCGCTCCACCACAAAGAGATTACCAGCTACCGGGCCACCTTCAAATTTCCCATACACCTTTCGAGTCCGTTATCAGAAGAATCAGAATGAGCAACTCGAGGGTATAACGTATAATAAAGCCGCAAACAACCCCAAGACTCGTGACCACTAACTCCAGCTAACGCTTACGAGAGTTCGAGGTCTGAAGCAAACGACATTCAGGGTGGCAGGGTGTCTACTTGGCCATAAGTGACGAGTAATGGTTGATCGTGGCAATAGGTGCTAAGCTGCTTCAAGTCTTAAGTTTCTGCGAAGCATACGTAAGTCGATACTCGGCGAGGATTCTCGTCGCTTTCAATTAGCCTCTCCGAAATCGACATGCCCAGTCTGTTCTGCATGCTGTGTAGCGCCTCTTTCGCCCACGAAAGTCCTACCACACGTATTGCAGCGCAGACGAAATCCGGCAGTATTTGTGTAATAATGCCGCTCTTGCAGAACCTTACACAACGCCAGGGATTTTTCCAAGACCAGAGGGTCGTTGGCGTCAAAAACTTTGGTATCAAATTCTGCGGGGACATCTGCATGGGTATACGGCGGACTTGAAGGCGACAGGGCAATAGTATCGTAGTGAATCCCCGAATAGACCACGATGCACCGCATTGAGGGACCCTCATTGAATGAATCGACCCGCAGGGTTTGCACATCAATCGAGCAGATCTCGATGTCAAAATGTTTACTCAATATGCTGAGCTCGATTCCCCCGCCCCAGGAGCCCTCATTCTGGATCCATTGACAGTAGTCATCCGGCTTTTTTTCCAACACCGCCTCGGTATATAGGTCCGGGTTTGCCTGTATAGTCTGGGCAACAACAGATCGTAGCTCAGTCATCACATCCACCCCACCCATGGTCGCGCTACTGATGGCGCGGAATAGGCATGAGTTATCGTCAGGCATGATCCGGAGGACGAAGGTACCATGATGTTCTGGTGATGGAATCTCCGGCGGGTCATCGGAGCCCTCATTCAAAGCCTTCTCACTGAGCAGCCCGTTGAACGGCTGTTGCCGATCAGTAGCAGTCTTGTGTTGGTCGCGGCTCGTGTCAGAGGGGAAGCTGCCTTCTTTCCTCGTGACAATTAATTGTTCCCCATTCAGAGTCATCCCCAAGTCGGATAGTTTCTGGTTAGGGGGGAAGCCCTCTAATGAGAGAGGCTTGATTTGTGGATACCCATACTTCACGTCGTAATCTGATAGTCCGGTTGACTCTGTGATTTGTCTGCGAAGTACATCGACAGTTGCATCGTCATCTAGAGAGACGGTCGACTGTCCCGTCGGACCGCGTATGCGGATTCTCATTGTGACTCAAAGCGACGACAGAAGAATAAGTCCTCGATCTGACGGGTAATAGATTTTTGTGAGTGAGTGAGTGCGTGCGGGTGTGTGCATCAGTATGTGTATATTTAGATGGCATTTGACCGCTAGCTGAGCATAATAGCCTTGTAGCACTAGTCTGAGTTGCTCAGATGTTGCTATGAGTTTTATGGATAAGCATTTATATAGGTAGGTTGAGGTAGGTCAGGTAACTTATCCCTGATTGACTGGAAGGTGGGGCATAGCTGGCGGGTGCGCATCTCCTCCTGAAGTCGCTGGCGGCAAGCTGCACGATCAAATTCGGCACTAGAGTACTAGTCAATTCTCAGTTGAAGGTTAGTCAATAACAACTTATAATTGTTTTCGGTTCAGTCAAAAAGCTTTCTTGTTGGGTGAATGCAGGAGGACGTTGCTCTATTCCATCAAGAGGAGATATCAGCCACCAATTAAGCAGCGTGAAGGCTCGGAGCCGAAATTGTGCAGCCAAAGCCTGAACTGTATCAGTACTCTTATTTGATATGAGAGATAGACTACAGTACAGTACAACTAGCGGGGACGAAGGATACAAGATAATCTATATCAATCGATCGGGTTTTTATCCTACACTATATCCCTGGAGTAGAGGGCACGATACATCGGTTTGATCAGTGTGCATACTTATAAAACGGTATCTTATTGTAGGGGACAGTCTCGTTCTATCCTTGAAAGCGGGATTACCGTATTTAGGCTGTTATGATACACATTGGCTGACTCAGCATAGTTGGTGAGTGAATCTCGTCCTTCCTTGCTTCTTTGTGCACTCTCTCCCTGTTCTATGTCGCATCCCCCTCATATCACCTCATATAGCGACTTCATAACCTTGTCTCACGCTTGGTGGTAATTTAATCCATTCGGCTTGGTCCTGATTTGCGGTTCTTCTCTCCGTGGCCGCGGCTATCTCGAAAGATGGAGACAAACATCTCCGAGCCGTCGCAAGCGCAACCTGCTGCTGAGGAGCCGGTGAAGTCCATCGAAGGCGATGGCAAAGGCGATGGCTCGGTCGCAACTAGCACTGTTTCCGACGAACAATACAGATCTATGATGGATGTTGTCATGGCGATTTACGAGTTCAGAGAAGAGGAGTGAGTCTGGCCTTTCTTGTCGAGCTTCATTTCACCATTTGTGCCCTTTGCATCGGATCTCAACCCCCCCAAAAAGCATTTCAGCTAGCTAACTGACCACTTCACCATCAACGCAGTGGCCATGATCCGTCCAAACTGTTCCAACGCAGTGTCAATAAGCGCCTCGTTCCTGACTATTATGACATTATCAAGGAGCCCATGGCACTCAGCATTCTGAAGCAGAAGATCAACAAACGTGAATATAAGGAATTCGCTGACTTCGTGCGCGACTGCGCACTGGTATGTAGTACTATCATTATCTTGTGATTCATGCATCAATCCCGTGCCTCTTCCACAAGGAGTAATGTTTGGCGGCAACTGACATGGCTTTGGAACTAGATCCCCCATAATGCACAGACTTATAACCGCCCTAAGTCTCAGGCTTACGAAGATGCACTAGTCATCAAGGATGTCTTCGTCGCCGAGTTTGAGAAGTTGGTGAAACAAGGCATTATCTCCGCAGAGGATGCCGAACTCCCCGACCTTGGGGAGATCCCTGAAGCAGATCCACTCCCTGAAGAGGATGAGGAGGAAGATGATGACGATGACGACGACGATGAAGAAGAGGATTCTGATGAAGAAAGTCGGCGCAAAAAGAAAAGGGGACCTCGTGCAGGCAGCAAACGTGATGCGGGGAAAGACGATGGCCAAAAGTCCAACGATCCGGAAGTAAGGAAGAAAAGAGGCAGACCGCCGCGTGTCGATACTCCTATGGAGGCAAGGATCAAAGCCGTTCTAAAGGGCATCCGAAAGCTAAAGGGGCCCAACAATCAGCTCAAAGTGCGACATTTCGAACGTCTACCCGACAAGGCCATGTATCCAGACTACTATGTTGAAACCAAGGAACCGATTGCCATCGATATCATCAAGCGCAAGTCGAAAAGAAAGAAATACAATTCGGTAGATCATTTCATGAGAGACATGGAACTCATGTTTAACAACGCGAAGGCCTATAATCAACCCGACAGTCAGATCTACAAGGATGCCGTTGATTTGCAATTGGAAGCACGCAAGCTTGCCGACATTGAGAAGAAGAAGCCAGACAGCGAGTACCTGATGGAGGATGGACGTTTGCCGTTGCCGGACGGAATTCTTCACAAGTCGGAACTATGGAGGGTCGGCGATTGGGTCCATATCCAGAACCTTAATGACGTGACGAAGCCTATTGTGGCGCAAATATATCGTACATGGCAGGATTCAGAAGGAGAGAAATGGGTCAATGCTTGTTGGTACTATCGCCCCGAACAAACGGTCCATCATGTGGAGAAGCACTTCTACCCCAACGAGGTGGTGAAGACAGGACAATACCGCGACCATCGGGTTGAAGAGATTGTTGATAGATGCTTTGTCATGTTCTTCACCCGTTACAATCGCGGACGGCCTCGAGGCCTACCTCCCAACAAAGATGTCTACGTTTGCGAAGCCCGCTACAATGAAGAGAAGCATAAATTGAACAAGATCAAGACTTGGGCTAGTTGTCTCCCCGATGAAGTCAGGGAAAAGGACTACGAGATGGACTTGTTCGAACTTCCCCGACGGATCAAGAAGATCCCAAGCCCCATCAAGCACTTGCTCAGAACGGATGCAAAGGAAACCGATGATCTTCCAAAGCCAACATGGGGAGCTGAGAATGCACCGCCTGTTGTTGGCGCGGTTCATCGCCGCCCGCGTGATGAGAACGTAGGGCCCCCTCAAACATCTCACTTGGCGTCAATTCTGAGAGAAAAGAAAAATAAAAATAAATACTGACCCTTCTATCTGGATTCTAGGAATCACCACCTCCGGAGCCCACGCCTTCCCCACCCCCGTCATTACAACAGCCAGCTTTGCCCTCAGCTCCACTTCGGCAGCCATCAATCAGCCAAATCCCTCCACGGTCCAGTGTAGAGAGTCAAGGCACGGGTGCCGCGGCGAGCGCATTGCCTGCTACGGCTCGCTCGCCAGCTGTAGCCATACCTCCAAATCGGAGCTCGCCAGCCCCGGGCCCGCCGATGGCCTTTTCTCAGCCTCAAATTCCTCCGACTCAGCCCTCCCAGCATGGGCTGCCGAGAAGCTCCAGCGGGTTCGTGCCGCACACCCCACACCCTAGCGCCTACCAAGCTCCCGTTGTGTCCCATCATTTTTCGGCCGCTCAATCAACACCTTACATGCCGTATCAAGGGAACCGTCTACACGGGTCTACGGTGACAACCTTTAATCCTAATGCTCCTCGTCCCATTGAAGTCTTCCATCTGAGTGATACTGCAAACGCTGCCATACCTGCAAATGTCCGCGAACAGTTCCACTGTGATGACCAAGGTCGTATTCTCTTCTTCTCGACCCCGCCACTAGACATCATTTCTTCCTACCAGCAGAAACTGGGACATTCTCTCAAGTATCTGGCCGCAAAGGAGGAGCGGCGCAGACTAGTCGAGACCAAGAAACGCAAAGGGACGCAGGATCAAGTGGGACAGGCATTAATCGTCAAGCGCCGGCGAGCAGATGAGAAAGTTGCTCTTGCAACTCAAGTGGAGATGCTCACAGTCAAGGCTTGGGACACCATGACAAGTCAAATTGTGGCAGGCACAGACAAGCTCTATGATATTTTGTATCAGAACGAAGGAGCAAGTGTCAGGCGAGCAGAGATCAAGGCACGCGAGCAGCGGAGAATAGCCGATCGAGTCTCGCAAGAGAAGACAGCGCATATACAATCTCACTCACAGAACGCACCGTTTGTCAGCCTCAAAGGCAGTGCTATGTACATGTCTGATGTTGACACGAAAAGCTGACGGAAAGGACACTACCTTATGACCCACTGCTGACTACTCGGCGTGCATTCGAAGTAGTGGACCGAAAAAAAACTAGAGTGCTCTTGCCGAGTCAATCGTGGCTAATTTGGCGAATCTCTGAATTGGGCGCTGGGAAGTACTATGAGCTATTTATGTGTACCATGACAAGTCTCATCAATTATGACCAGGGTGATCATAGTTATGCTTACCTCGTCCCAAATAGTCATTGTGTAATAAAACATGTCTGCTTCTTCCTCACCCCCCCGCCTGCTACATCGACAATTCATAGCATCTCAATGGGATCAGTTCCATTGGAGGAAATTGTAAGAGGGACAGGCAGATTTCGTACGCTTAATGAATGACCCACCTTTTCATATACATACGTGGTCGAAATTTCAGAATTGGATTCGCAAGCAAAAGAACAATGAGAAGAAGTATCAAAATGAAAACAGAACATACAAACCTAGAAACATAGCAAAAGAGCTAGGAGCGTAACCTTCAACACCATATTGACTACTGGCTGCAGGCCAATAAACTAGAAGTAGAAGACAAGCACAGATCGTGCGAGAAAAGCATGGTTGGAAGAGGGAAGTGATATATGCAAGTAAGAATGTACACTAGGTGAAGATAATAATGATCATACTGCTTCCCCGGAAGAACGGCCAATCGACCTTGTGAATGTTGCTTTTTGTCGGGATTTAGATGTGCCATGTAAGGTAGTGATATGGCGTAATGAACAATGGGAGAGACCAAAAGGCCAGGATAGTGAAGAATGATAAGAGAAAAGATCAAGTGGGGAGTTACAAGCAAAATTGGAGACAAAACGGCCTCGTTACAAAACATCACTTGTCTAACAGATCATATAATGCAACGCAATGGCGAATATTAGAGGCAGATGAAGTATAACTCCAGAAAAAGTTCAGCAGTTCTATGAAAAATTCCCTCCAACATTTTTGTGTAATCCTGAATGACGTCATAAATGGACAGGGGCATAAACTGGTACCCACCTATGATGCTAGCTTGTTCTTCTGTGCGAAAAGGCTTGGTAGATTTAGGCTCCCAAATACAAGTTCGATTCCTTTCTTTCCATTAACAGGATTGATAAGGCATAGAGTCGATTATTAGGCATCGGTAGCGGTAGTAGATTGAACTGCAATAATGTTTCAACGAGTTAAGGCTGGAACTCTGGGTTGTTCGCGGGAGTCGGCTCATCGTCATTTGAATCCGCCTTGTGGGAATCCCAAGAACTGCTGCTTCGTTTGTTGTTCTCTTCTTCTTCCATGGAGAAAACCAAGTCACTTTGCTCTTCGTCAATCTTGCTGGTGCTGACCGGCGATGAGATGGTACGATCCAGACGGCTGCTAGGGCCTGCAGATGCCGAATGGCGAGGGGGGCCAGGGTGTAGAGACATGCCACTGAGCTGTTGAGAGATCATGGACATCGACGGTTGGCGAGGGGCACTCGACACGAACGGAGAAATGTCTCCAGAAATCTGCCGGCTGCCGATTGGGCCCAGGCTCGGGCTGGTGCCTAGGTTCAACGAAGACTCGCGCAAAGGTGAGCCAATGTGTGTCAGAGAAGTACTACCATGGGCGTCTTCCTCTCGCTTCTGCCGCTGCTTGGCAAACAAAGCCCCGAATCGGGACGGGCTGGAAGCCAAGGGAGAGCCCACTTTGGAGAAACTGGTGCCAGTCATGCCCAATCCGCTGAGCTCCCGATGGCTGGAACTCAGATCATGATCGGTGCGCGAGAGGCGTCGAAGTCGCTCCTGCGGGGTAAGAACATCGTCGTGTAAGTTGATTGGCAGATAGTCTTCTTCCATTGGAAAATTGCTATCGTCCCAGTCATCTAGAGCGGTGGGTCGTGGCACACTTGCCGAGAGCATCCGTGTCTTGATGGGGCGTTGGGAATGAAGGAAGCGTGGGCCCAGTCCATCTTCTGGTAGGGTAGGAGGCGATGACCCAATGAAGGATGATTTCCTGAGGTCGGATCCGTAAGCCGTGTCCCGAAGATTTCGAAGGGCATCTGATGGTGCGCCCATTCTTTGTGCTGGAGGCGACAGTTCTAACCCGAACTTCGAGGGCATGGAAGCCGCAACCGGGCCATACCGAGCCGCGTGCGAAATGCCTTGGCTGTCAAACGACGCGGGAAGAGGAGCATCCAGTGCGGTCAGATGGCGGTGACTTGGTGACATCGGATATCGTATATCGTCGACAGGCGACCCATACTTGGAATTAGTGTCGGATGTCAGTCCAGTATCGATAGTAGGAATCGCATCATAGGGCAGCTGTTGCGGAGGTGGTGACTGGGGCGGAAGTTGAGGGGCATATCTTGGATCATGGCCGTTCATCCGCTGCTGCGACAAAACAGAGTTGGTCAAAGCAGAATCTTGGTTCACGTAGGCTTGCGGATTAACACGACCACCCAAATTTAGGTGACCACCACCCAGTCCCATTCCTGGATTGGGCCGGTTGACACGTCGGCCATCGGGCAGAATATGCGCCAGCGCACACTTCGCTCCGAATTTGCAGTTACCCTATATCCAAAGCACAAGCTGTCAGCCGTCGAAGGGAATTCGGGAACACATAAGGCTCATGATAGGCGGCCGAGCTATCTAGTACCTTGGTGAAATATTTACAAGGCGCATAGTCTATTGCTGCATCGGTGGAGTGAAGAAAGGGACATGCAGGCCCGGCCTGGCAAGCACCCTGACGAAAGAATTTGCAAGGCACATGCTTGGTATCTGAGTCGGAACAGTTATACATGCATTAGCGATTGATCATCCTTGGGGGAAGGTGTAATGAAGTCAACGACGGGAGAAGCACAAGTGAAAGGAAACAAACCGAGTCCAAAGCCCTCTATGGTGCTGTACAAGAAGAAGCGCAGGGAGCCGGGGAGAAGGAGGGTGGAGGCAGAAGGGAGAAGGAGGGTGGAGGCAGAAGGGAGCAGATCGGTTGGCGGGGGATGGGGAGGAGACATGTATGACTTACTGCTTTGATTGGGAGGACTGCGGGCAGCCATGTCGAGGCCGGAGGAATTGCGGGAATGACCGTTCTGGAGTGGTTGAGGACCGGAGGGGACCGGGAGAGGCGCGCGACCTTTCATGCCACTCAAAAAGTGATTTGAGGTGCGAGTCGAAGAGTGGGAAACCGGAGCGATGGCGGCTGTGAAAGAAGGACAGAGAGAGGAGGAAGAAGGGGGGGAGGGGGGAGGAGGAGGGGGAAGGGGGAAAGGGAAGAGGAAGGGGAAAGGGAGGGGGAGGAAGCAGTGGTGGTAGGATTAGTTGTAGTGGTGGTGATGGTGGTGATGGTGGTATCGGTGGTGTCGGTGGTGTTGGTGGTGGTGGTGGAGGTGGTGGTGTTGGAAGGAGGGGAAGAAGGTTGACTAGGCGGAGAAGGGCTGCGGGATGCCGACAGCTGCATTGCCAAGGTGGGCAAAGGTGATGGCAACGCAGCAACACACGCAAGGATATCCGAGACTCCGCAGGAAGGTTATCGGACAAAGATAGGGAATTGGTGGTGGTGGAAATGACTAGGGAAGGAAGAAGAAACAACGGACCTACAGTACTCGTACTGTACAGTTCTTTTAGTCTGAGAGAGCGGATGAAGTCCATCCTCCATCCTCGGAATGATCCAAGGAGGGGGAAAGTCCGTGGGCGGTGAGCCGAAAAAAAAAAAAAAAAAAAAAACCAGAAAAAAAAGGTGCAATTACAATACTAGTAGATATAAGTTACTGAGGAGTACGGAGTAGATAGAGTCTATGTATATACAGTACATACAAGAAATCGGGAAAGCTTTAGAGAAGGAGTCGGAGGGCAAGTGAATTTACCTGACATAATACCAGATGTACTGTGCTCCGTACTGTACCATATATATATCTCGAGGATCTCCTTCTCCTCCTTCTCTTCTTCTCTTCTTCTCCTTGTTGTATACAAGTTCCTCTCAAATGGCTTAGCCTATCCCTGCCTGTCGATGCTACAGACAGCATACAATCAAGATTCTAACATGTTCAGATGACTTCAATATATTATTCTGACTAATGAACGTCCCTCTTCCCACAAATCCTTTTGAAATCATCGAAGGCCCAATGCTAAAAGGTACTGTACGTAGCAAGTCATCAAAAACAAATCGATAATGATACAATGCAGTATTGGGCTGCGTCTCCCCGCAAACCCGTATGTCAATTTGCACACATGCGCTTTCTCAGTGCCAGGAATCAACCGCCGCTGATCAGTGACCGGCTTCACTGGCCTCCTTCACAAGCTCAAGTGATCATTTGATCAGCGTAACGGGGGCCCTTCCAACCCTAGTGATTCCTGCGTAGCCACCAATCAGAATCATTCAAGACTGGAAATGAGACCATGATCCCCCATACCCAGAGCTCTTCCCAAGCTGTGTCGCCTGGCAACGCATCCAAGCACCTCCGCCATAGATCACGGCAGATCCGAGCGCGACTGCTAGCGTGCCTATTCCAGCGCTTCCAATCCTCTTCGGCACCTGCTCTTACCATATGCCCGGGCACGGGCATTGAAGCATTCCCCTTCACCGTGAGCCAGAATGTCCGGGCCGTTGCTTGATCTCGACCCAGTTGATCCACATCTCGACGAAGCTCAGACAGTAAAGGTTTCGCATCAAGGGCTGCCAGTTCCATTCGTACCTTTTTCTTTTGGATCTGAAGACTGGAAAGCCTGCCCTGAGCTTTCTCAATGTACTCATCCAGGGTCACGAGGGTTTCTGATGTGATCTTGTTGGAAGCTTCTTGTAAAGCGTGATACACTACTTGTTTTCCTATAGATGAAGAGAGCCCATAAGTTCAGTGCTGTTCAAAACTCATCGACACGAGATCAAGATTATCTACACTTACCCGCCGTCTGTCCTTCAATCTGCTTGTTGTGCCACAAGTCTCGTAATGCTCTGGCGGCATACGCTATGGGAGATGCCATGGCGCGAGGAATGAGCGCAACTACACCTAACAGAATCTAGTTCAGGAACTTACACTTGGTGACTTCTGTGTGTAAATTGGCTGATATTTCGTTGGCCTACATCACTTCAGCAGGAGCAAGTCTGGCCACTTCGTTTCCCATCTACTAACATACCGAATACGGGCGACTGTATCCATTATTCATGAGCGACAGTCAGCTGGAATTTTCCAAAATGATAAGACCAAATGTGCACAGGGAATGGCCGGCCGTACTCCTGTCTCTCTAAACAATATGTCAGAGGTCGAGTGAAAAACAAGACCCCGAGGCTGGGGTGAATACGCACGAAGGTAATCAAGAATGGCTTCAGCGCCGTCAATGGTAGCTCCTCCCACAGAAGACGTTAGCCACCCGTGCCTCTCGCACGACGAACATCTTCTCACCTTCGCGGCGAATGGTCGTAGGACAATTTGCTTTCTTCTGCGTCATGACTTTGGTGCACCGGCTGACCTACCGATGCAGCATGGCACACACCGAGCTGAGGGGAAGAGGAGAGAGAGGTACAATTTTCCCGGCGGCGGCAGAAAGATGATGAAATACAACTGGACCGACATGTCACGTGTTTCTAAAGCCAAGATGCCTGGCATTCAGCACCCACAGACGATTGGCTTCCTTCTCCAGGAGAAGTGAAGGGAGACAGAAGAAGCTCGGAGTATTGTAAAGGGCAACAGAATGGCCACTTCGGATCAAGGAGATTGCCACAATCCTCTCATACAAAGTTATATTAGGCCCTGGGAGAAATAGTTCATTTTACTGCGGTAATCTTGACACCCCTGGGAAAAAAAAGGAAGTGCAGGAAACATAACCAGCCCATAGAGACATAGAGACATAGAATGTTCAGGTTTCAGACTAGAGTCGTACGCTGCCTCTTCAAGTCCCCCAGTTTCAAGCTACTCGACCTTAATCACATGGCTCGAGGCAAGGAGAGATGAAATCGCTCTTCGTAAGACTTTCCAAATACAGCACAAGCGAATAAATATCACGGGATAGATGACGTCGGGGTATCACATGACAATCTAGATATTGTTAGCTGTTACCATAGCCATTATGCGGCTGCAATAAGATAGGAACATACGCAATCACTGTCTTTCTGTACAGCTGGAACCCCCATTTCCTCAAACGTCTTGGGGCCTTTACCTGGAAGACCAGATTGCGGCTTGGCTGGCGTTGTTGTTAGAGGTTTCTGGCCGGCAGCGCTTGTCGCCGGTGGGGCGGGCTTGGGCGTGGACGCGGCTGAGGAGGGTTTGGGTGTGGATGAAGATGGTGGAGGCTTGGACATTGATTGAGCATTCGAGGACGGCATAGACTGCGTCCGTGGTGGGAATGACGTGGTTGAAGGCGAAGCAGCTGGCCGAGGGGAGCTCACCGGACCAGCTTGCGTATGAGGAGAGGCAGGGCCTCTTACAGGTCTCCGGTCAGGAGGCATGTTGTCAAGCCGCTGAGGGCGTCTCCGAGCGTCCGCGTTGAGGTTTTCGAGCGGTGCCGAGTAGCCAATATCAAGCTTGGGAGTCGTAGGGGCTGGGCTTGTGGGACTGGTAGTGGAGGGGGTACTGGGCCCTGGGGCCCGGTAGCCCATAGGGCCTGGTCCATAAGACGCCGCGCGGTTGTAGGTGGGAGCAGTATTTCGGATGTTGGGATTGATCCCAAAGGCGGAACTAGGACGTGGGTCAGGCATGCCATATCCGGGTGGATATACAGGTCGGGCCCGGGACGAAGGCCTGTCGGGATAGGGAGCAGCGGCCGATGAATTATCCGAGAGAGTCATTCGGGACGGATCAGGCATTTCGATGTTTTCAGGAGTGGCTTTCATCGGACCCCCTCGTTGACCAGATCCATAACGCGACTTGATCCGAGCAATTGCTACTTGCTCGTGATCCTTTCTGGACAAAGTCTTGGAGCGAGAGATACTATCGATGCGGCCCGTCGCATCTTTGTTTCCATTGGCCGCTGCTTTGGCGTACCAGCTTCTAGCTTCTTTGATGTCCACCGGAACGAAGATTCCGACCTCGTAGAAGTATCCCAAGGCGAATTCGGCAGTAGGGAATCCGCTTTGGGCGGCACGTTGAGCGTAGGTGAAGGCCAACTCGTCATTCTTGTCGAAAACACCTTCGTGGCCACAGAGGAACCATTTGCTAATTGCCATCTCTGCTTCCGGTTCGCCTTGTCGTGCAGCCAATGCGTTGTAATGCAGAGACAAGGCGGGATTGAAGTCGCAGCCGAGTTGGCACAGCTCATAGGCAGCACCCATCTTGACCTGTGCCTTTGCGAAGCCATGATAGGCAGCCTTTTCGATGTTGACACGGGAGGCGTTGAGATCAAGAGGAAGGTAACTCTCAGGAACATTGACCTGCGGTAACTCTCGCGCTAGCAGCATGCCATAGACCTGGGCATGGAGAGGTTAGCTTCCCAGCCGTAGAATTGAAGGGTGAATCCGGACGAACATAGGCTCCCTGGGGGGCATTCTCATCGCAGGACTGCGCTGCAAGGCTAATGTATTCAAGCCCCATCTGATAGTCCTGACGCTGACCATGCTGGCCTAGTAGGATCATCATTCCCAAGCGCTACCGTTGTATGTATCGTTAGCACGGGACACGAGCCGGTCTGATAACACGGGGGGGCATACGTAGAAGGAAGCAGAGTCTGCAAGGGCAACGCCCTTCTCATAATGCCTGATGGCTTTCTCCGGCTCTCCGGAGCTTTCAAACTGCATGCCAATCCGGTACTCAGCTCTGGCATATCCTTTGTCCGCAGCTCTCGAGTAGGATCGGAAAGCTTCTTTCTTATCGATGCGATACCCAAATTTCCCAAACTCGAGCCACATGCCCTTGATAAACTCAGCCTTGGGATGATGTTGTTCTGCAAGGAAGTTCACAATGTTCATTGCGTCGAGTTTGAGTTGACGCTCCACCGGGGGGGTTTGTGGTCGCGGAGGCTGGATCAAAGACAGACGTGCCTCATTCTGCATGGCAACCTCGACGAAAGCGAGCGCGTCTTGAGCCCAGGCTAGCTGCATCTCCGGGTCATTAGAGGAGAGCACCGCCATACGTGCTCTTTCCAAGTTGGCTTCCCGCTGCTCATCGGTTGGAGGGACGTTTGGTGGGGGGTTCCGCAGAACAGGAAAGGGAGAGAAGTTGGGGGTATCCATGGCATCGTGAGCCGTGTCCTGCTGCTCGTAACGGGAGGCAGGTTCGTAGGCTGATGGGTAAGGCTGGTCTTGTGAGAAGGCGGACGAAGTGCGCTCGGGGAAGCGAGAGCGGTCATACTGCACGGGAGCGTGCTGGTTGTGGTGGGGATTTCGAGCTTCGTGCTCAAGATGAGCTATGTTGTCCTGCATATTCTCCGGTACCTCGGGCATGACTCTACTGGAACAAGGATATGATAGGATCGATTAGCAACACAACCAAATAATGAAAGGGACACTAGGAAGGTTTGATCAACTGTTTGTTCCAAGAGTCGCGGGCAATCCGTACCTTTGAGGAGATGGGGATATGACTTCTGGCATGTAAAAATCGTCCTGACCCCCTGGATACCATGTCGCACCCAGCCGTGGCTGACCACGACCTTGGGGTGGTGGCCTATTCATAGCGGCCAGTGTGTTTCTCCGGTCTTGAAACTATTGCTTTTTTTTTTTTTTTTTGCCTTTTCTTGGTTTGGCTGATTGTGATTGTTTATTCTCTGCCCCTGACAATCAAATGGTTTCAGACTAAAAGCCCTTACTATGTGGCAAAGACTTCGGGGTCTGATGATCCAGAAGATGTTAATAAGTCGAAAGCTAAGGGTGGTGGGGGGCGGGGGGAGGGAGAGGGGGAGGGAGGGGGGTGGTTCAGGGAGTAGGGAGCAAAGGAAGAAAGAAGATTCGGGCTGAGCATGAACAGAAAGCGGAAGTGGAGGTTACTGAGTAACGATGATTGTTACAATGTACGCTCACCTTTTATGACTATTACACAGTACGTGGTTTACTCACTCCTGCTAGACTCACTAACTACTGAATAATTTACCCTACGTACTGTACTTAGACTAATGGAGGGGAGGGCGAGGAGGGGCGGGAAACGAAAATTGGGGGTGATAGGGAACAATCATCGATAATACCAAGTACACATGTAGGTTACTGCTGAGCAACGAATAACTACAAGAGAGACTGTCCACTGTACTGTACTGAGTACGTGCTGTTCATACCCAACTTCCAAGTACTGTCCATGACTCCATGCCAACTAAATCTCAGGGCTCGAATCTACGCAATATTTGACGAGTCGACTAGTCTGACAGGGGGCCAGGGGCAATATCAAGAAGTGGGGTTTTATTTGGCATGTTGATGAATTTGGCATTTTAGTGAATACGTCGTCGGTTGGCTTATGTACAGTACAGTACAAGATACAGATCCTACAAAGATACAGTATTTGAATTGCAGAAACCATATAGCGCAGTACAGAGGAGAAGTTTACATTACTTAATGCATACTGTCCATGTCCCTAGTATTTTTTTCTGATGATCGAAGTATCAAATGCGCGATCAAATTTTACTGTGTTATGTACAGAGTACGTAAAGTAGGTACCTAGTATGTACTTATATGTGTACAGTACGGCGTACTCTAAGCTGGATCCACCGTCCAATCATCTTCATACCCAATATGTTGCTGAAGCTACCTAGGTCCTATGCGTCTAGTGCATTATGCTGGCCTTTTATCAAGTAAGAGCAAGCATGAAGTCCTGAATAGGCAGGCACATGTATTTCCGATCCAGGGTGACTTCATTCGGCTAGAAGCAGGGCATGGACCCCGGCTGACGAAGTCTATGTACCTATTCTGTACATGCACGTATAAGGTATGTACTGAGCCTGCGGCGTGGAACTCTACACAATTCCCCTTCAGACCATGTGGCCCAGAACTCATGGCTATTAATAGCCCGAGCACGCATACTACGCAAGTACATCTGTACTACTACATAACTGGTAAATTATTAGTCACAGAGTGTGTACTAGTAATCTCATAGTATGACTGGCGGCACTTACCTTACCCCTTTCTCTACCACCTCCTAAAGGTACAGAGGGTATATACAGTCTCC